GACTCTGAGTCCCTCAGGGCAGGGGTGACTTCTTTGTCCTTCCTGATATTTGACAAAAGTAAATAAGTAAAAGCTTGTGGAAAGAAAGAATGAATCCTTAACACTAGAATTTCAAGCAGACACAGTCGCAGTCCTAGTTCTGAATGGTCATCCCGTGGGAGTTCAGAGGGACTAGGGAAGGAATGTAGCCACAGTGTGCAAAGATGAGATGTGGGTGGGTCCACTCTGAAGAGTCAGTAACAACCTGGTTTGTCTCAGTGCATCATTCCACTGCCTGAGGGATTGATAATGAGGAAGGAGATTGGAACAGGGTCTCCCGAGGTACAGGACACATTGCAAAAAGGCTTGAAACACTGGAGTCAAATCTTACCCCCTTATTCTTATACTTAAAATAAATCTCTTGGAGTGTCACTGACCAACCCAGCAAGCAGCCTAATTCATAAAGCATCACTGTAACTGTGCTTCTTGGGGTAAAAAAATGTCCTTTCCCGATCAATGCACTGGAATACTTGGGTGCAGCAGAAAGAACATATTTGGTATGTGATTGCTGGGCTTCTTCACACTTCTTGGCCAACCATCCAGCAGAAAAATGCAAGGTTAGTCAGCGATGGGTGGGGTAGGGGGGATGTTATATTCACTGATGTGGTTCAGAGGTAGCTGAACAGGTAACCAGACAGTCCCGGCAGGTTCACAGATGCAAGGAAGTTTGAGAAACCACTGACTGAATGAACCAACTAAATGAAACACAGCTTTAGAAACCCGGAGTAGAAAGGCATTAAAGGAGCAACGCTTAAGAAGGCTGATCCTGAGCAGAATGACAGTATTTGGATTTGAGATTTTTCAAAGCTACCAGATCAACAGGTAGACATTAGTAAAGAAGGAAGTATGAGAATAAGACATGTGGAATTTGAATCGGAATGACCAGTGGCTCTGTGGAAGAAGACAGTACCTGTAGCAAGGTTCTGGTTGGTTTATTTTTGCGCAAGACAAGCATGAGGGAAAAAAAAAAGAAGTAACAGGTAAGCCAACCACAAGCTATAGGAAACAATGGAACAATCAAGGGTAAACAGGAAAATCAAGCTAAAATCTGACTCAGAAAATAAGCTGCTTAGGAAGCCAAGAAGACTAACTAGTTATCAAATGATTTGATTTCTCAAGAGTAATGCCTGGGCATAGAGATGGAGAAAAAGACCAAGTTTTGTTTTTTATTTTTTTTAAACAAAGGTTAGTAGGGGGCGGGGAAGTATGAAATTCCGAAGTGTGTTATCTAATAGTCATAAACATTGGCCTCTTCAAGCCAATTAAATGGTTTTCAATGCCAAAAAATAAAATGACATCGCTATTAAAGCAAAAAACTACAGTAAGATGGTGCTTCAGTCAGGCAAGTCTCCTGAATACCTGGTCATGGGGTAAGATTTCAAAGACTGAAAAGCCACTGCTGCTTCTCCCCCAACCCCCAACCAATCCCACACCCAATAATTTCAAAAACAGTTTCTAGGGGGAAGGGTATAGCTAAGTGGTAAAGTGCATGCTTAGCATTCAGGAGGTCCTGGGTTCAATCCTCAGTACCTCCTTTAAATAAATAAATAAATAAACCTAATTCCACTCACCACCAAAAAAAATAAGTTTCTAGAACCTTCCATGTAGGTCCCATGGATAGAGTGGGAAAACATGGTGGGAGGAAAGTACAGTGAGCTACATCTGTGGTAGACTGAACCAGGTGCTTACAAGTGCCCTTGACCCTGTCCTATTCCACGTGATTATCAACGACCAGAAGACAGGAATGGTAAACCAGGCTTGCAAGAAGGACGAAGTGGGAAAGTGACAGCTCCAATCACTGATTGCATAGTCATTCCTTCCCTACCATCTTCTCCCTTCCTGCCTGATCAGCACTTCCCAAAATGTGTTCCACAAAACATTGGCTGTGGAAATGAGACTTGAAAAATGGTTTTCCAAGTTCAGAATATTTGGAGAATTCTGCATTTCCTTCCTTCTTATTTTCAGAAGCTCTTGAGAAATCTCATACTAATAAACAAACCTCTGTCTTAATGTTTCCCAAACATTTGCTTTTGACACAGTCTTACACAGTAATCATTAACTGAGGATGGCCCAAAGTTTAAGTCCTCAGCCATATTCAGCTTTCCCTCTGCGAAAGAAATGATTCAATCTCCTTAAGTTACTACTGCCTCATCACTCTTCTTCCTCCAACTACCATATTTAAAAAAAAGAAAAAAAAAACCTTGACACTTCCTGCCTCCTGTTTCCTCACCACCCACTCACTTCTCCATCACTTGAAATCTGCTTCAGCCCCCAGTGCTCCAGTGAAAGTCTTCCTATGTGATCATCTGCGCAAACAGCAAAACTAATGGCTTCTCTTCAGTCCCTCGGTCCCTCCGCAGTCACAAAGGAATACTTACACTTCTTGAATCTCTCTTCCCTCGGTTTCCACAACACTGTTTTCCACCCATCCCTGGGACTATGTGATCTTTGGTTCCTCTTTCTCTTTCTAAAATGCCTTAAATTCTCAGAATCAACTCTTACTTCTCCCTTGGGTAATTTGCCCACAGTTTGAACTACTGCCCCTTCATGGATCCACAAATCTAATCCCAAGCCACGTCCTTGACTTCAGATCCACATTCCCAAAGGGCTTCTCAACTTGTTCACTCCACTTTTCTCCAAGGACTATACATACATTCAATGTACTCCAACCAAACTCATCCATTTCCCCACCAGACTTTCTCCCCTGCCTGTCTTCTTGATTCCTGTTATGGAATCACCATTCCTGGAGGCTAAGGGGGACAGGAGAGTCAGCCGCTTTCTCCTCAGCAAGCCCAGAGCGCTCTGAATATGCCTCAAAGTACCTATAACAGTGGGCTCTACTTTACTCACTTCCTAGATTTGAAGGTCCATCAGTCATCTATGTGGTCCCTGTGCTAAGAGGCAGAAGAAACTCAACACACTTGGAAAAATGGATGAATCCTTTGACTCATACCCAGTTCATGGCTCCAGTAATATACCAAGTTCTCTTATATTTCAACAGAAGTTCTGGATTCTTTCCACACTATCCTTCATCAGAATCAAATGAAATCACAAACCTAAACTACAACTATTTCCCAACTGGGCAGTCAAGCTACCACGGCTACCAGAACAAACTTTCTAAAATGCTACTCTAACCACATCACTCCCTGGCTCCGACACCTTCAGTGGTTTCCCGCTATTTCCAGAACACAGTCCAAGTCCACTGGCATGCTACCACTGCCTTCCACGTCTGGATCTCTGCTACCTTGCCGCCCTGATCTTCTACAACTCCCTATGTTCTAGTCTCAAGGTAGTGTGGGTAGCCCACTGACTATTTTGTAAGTAAAGTTTTATTGGAATACAGTTAATTGACATTTGTCAGATAATCCAGTATTTGTTGTACGCAGCTGTTCTGTGCACTGTAGAAAGTTTAACGGGATCTCTGGGCTCTACCCGCTAGATTCCAGTAGGACTTCCCCAGTGTGACAACCAAAAATGTCTCCGAACATTGTCAAATGTCTCCTGGGGGACAAAACTGCCCCCAGTTAAGAACCACTATTCTAGAGATTTCCAAGTGCAAGCTAACAGTAAGATGTCACTGCTAATAAAATCTAAATCATATAGTAATTGTAGTACAGTGTCCAGATTAAGAGATAAAGAGTCGCACGGTATTCAGTGCTTGTTGACTCACACTTGTAAGATTGTGTCAATCACGAATTTTAAGAGGACTTTGGAAAACTGGAACTCGTACAAGCAAAGGTGACCAGGCTGATGAGAAACTTGGGGGAAAAGGTTCTAAGAGGGATATTTTAAGAGAATGGAGGTGTTTAGCCTGCACAGGAGAAGATGCAGAGAAATCCATGATCTTTAACTACTTGATGGGTTGTCCTAAGGGAGGAAGCTTGCTGTTCAGGGAGGAAGCTTGCTGTTCAGAAAGGGAGAACTAGAACCAGTGGGCAGCAGCTACAGGAGGGCAGATTTTGGCTCCATGCGAACAAAAGCTTTCTAACAATCAGAGGTGGCCAACAAATGTATGAGGCTGAACTGTGAAACACTATGCTCTCCTCATTCTGGAAGTGTTCAGGCAGACACCAGAGGACTTGATGTCAGAGGTGCTGTGGAGAGTCTCCTGCATGAGATGGGAGGTAAAACAAGCTGGTTTCACTAAGGATCGTTTTGCTCTGAGATTCTAAGGCTAGCAAAGGAAAACCACAGGCTGTGAAAAATAAAATTCTCCAGTTTCAAGACCTTAATTACAGCAAAAGGGAAAACAATCTGGCTAAACGATTCACTCTATGGCTGTTTGGTAACATCTACGTTTAGTCCCTGGCACTGCAATTACCGGTCATCGGGCTTTTTCTTGTCGACCTGTAATTAGTTCCTGGATAACATATGTCACTACCTTTAACCACATCTTTTATTCTGTTAATTACACCACTAGTACAATTTGTTCAACGTATTACAGTTTTCAAAGCACTGTAATATGCCTTACCTCATTCAACATTAGCCAAATCTGAGCATGAAAATTTTAGATAACCCGCTCTCATTTACTGTATCTAGTCTGAGTTGCTTACGAAAGAAAGCTATCCTTTATTATTCACTAAACATTCACTAACAAAGCATATTCCAGCAAATACTCATCTCTCCCAAACAAATCGTTTATACACTACCCAGAGATAAGCCAAATCCAGTTATCTCCACATCAGAAACATGGGTTTACCTCTGTGAAACTTCTATTTTATTTATGATTTGGGGAGGAAATTTTGAAAAACTAATTTAGTTGTCCCCAGTTTCACTGCGGTCATAGAAACCAGAAGTTCCAGAAAGCAGTCACAACAAAATGTGAAGCATCTACAGTAAGCAAAGCCATTGTAGGGCCTCATTCCCGGGACTCGTATACTCCCCAGCTGAAACAGCCAAGAAGAACCGTGTAAGGACTTTCCCCAAAGCCACAATGCGCCCTCACCCACTGCTTTACTTACTTCTTTACGTTTCGTTTCTGGACATTCCGACTGCAGAGTGAGGGTTGCACCTTCAATATTTCTTGGCATGGGAGTGGAACCAGGGTTTATTGTCAAATGGATCTGATCTGGAGAGATAATGTGTTGCACGTAACCCTGGGACATCGCTTCATGATCTATTAGGTGAAAGCCCTCTTCACCCCCTACTAGAAAAGGCAAGTGTTCTCCGCACTGTCCATCGTCATCTTCGTCCTCCAAAGTGCCAGGGTCCTGCTCAATGAGAACAGTCGTCCTATCATACACAGTTCCAGATGAGGAAGGCACCAGTCCGTTCTTATCCACAAACCTGAGCATCTTGTCGTCGGGGGTCAGCTCATCTTCATCTGCCTCAAAGTAGCTGATGCTGTCGTCTGGACTGTGTTCCCCCATGGTTCAATCGTGCTCAGCCCAGCTGTGAGAACTGGAAAGGTAGTGTCCTGTCTGCAACAGAACAAATCCAGAGTCAGATCCACACCCCAGGACCCAGGGACCCCCTCAACAACCACATGGCTCTTTTCTCCTCTCGTTTCAAGAGCAGGCAAAGGAAGTAAAAAATCACCTTCCTTGGGAATAATTTTATTTTAAGCTTAAGTTTAAAATCCATTAGGTCATTCTGAAGGAAAAACAATGCCTTTTTTAAAAAATGGAAGTAATAAGTAGCAGTTTATAAGACCTTCCAAATATGCCCTACTGTCAAAATCTTTAAAAGTTGGTCAGAATATCTAATGGAAGAAATAGGAGCAAACTGCTTTAAGGCTGAGTTGCTATAAATCTTTAAGGAAACTCAACCTAAATATCCCCCAAATCAGACCAGAGGCAGTACAGTTTATGGCGGAAAGGGCAGGGCTTTGGAGGCAGGGCCACTTCCCTACAAATCCAGGCTTTACTACGTACTACTTGGGTAACTCTTCTATGCCTCACTTTTCTCATATGTAAGGTGGGACTGGTAATTCCTGTTCTCACAAAGTTGTTACGTGGAGTAAACGAGATAATGTATGTTACAGCACAATGTCAGACAACAGCAGAGGAATTAAGTGTGAACTTGTTCTCTTCTTCTGAGAACAGATGTCTCAGCTTCTGGGTAGAAGGGCTGATCCCTAATCAGGCATATCTAACGAAGATCACTTTGTCTATTTATCTCCTAAAACAATCTGGTGTCCACTAGAAGCTATAGCGTACTCTCTACAATGAGGGAACGATGAGTCTTAGTTTTGTTTCTACTGCCCTAAGCACAGTACACTGCCGCTAGGAGTTCAGGAAATGTCAGTTGAATGAATGAAAGATCTGCAGATATACCCTCTTGGAAAGATATACTCTCTTGACGAAAATACCAAATTTGAACTTTTCCTGTTCTGGAACAGTGACTCTTCTTTTACCTGCAAACACACAGGTTCTACAAACATGGGTTTGGTGGACAGAACAGAGAATTTTAAAATAATCAGCACATCACTTTTAGTTTTCAGTCTAGCTTTGCACTTTATCTGTCTCTTCTGCTCTGGATTAGAAAGTGAACCTTTACGCAGTAGGGAGGCTAGACAGAGTGGTAGTTACCAGAGACAAGCCAAGGGATCTGATCCGGGAGGAACCGGCCCGACCCCTTGCTCTGGCTTACGCAACCCGGTAGATGCACATTTCGCTGCATCTGAGAAGAGAGATAAGAGCACTGGGGGCCCCAATGGGCTGCCCCGGCACCACAGGCGGCAACGCGGAGACCAACTGTCCCGAACAAACAAGACCAGGAGGCTTGAGGGGGGCAAACGAGAAGTACAAACGGAGCACCTCTGAGAAAGCTGGGAAAAGGAACCTGTCTGGGATAGCCCCCAGCCCAGGGCTACACGGAAAAACCCGAGGACGGGCTGGGGGGCTCCAAGCCCAGCAAGGAGGGGCAGGGTCCGGATCTCCATGGAAACAGGGGAGGGGGGCTGGATACCCATCCCCATGGAAACGGAGGAGGGGTGGGGTCCCTATGGTGACCAGACTGGGGTCCCTACTAGGAAACGCTTCAGGAGAGACCCTAAGTCCCGCGCCCCCCAGGAAGTCCCCAGCCCAGGCCGCGTCTAGTTTCGCCTTTTACCTCCGCGGCTCCCGGCAACGGCGGCGGCGGCAGCAGCTTCTCCCCTCCCCAGCGGCACCATGATTGCCCCCACCTTCCCCGAACGTCACTTCCGCTTCCGCTTTCCGGAGGAAGGAGGAGATACCGACTCCGCCTCCCCTGGCTCTTCTGGTTGGTTTAGCCGGTGTGGAGCCCGAGCTCGAGCCTCCAATTGGCGAGCGGGAGGGGTGGGGCGGGGCACCGCGGAGACCTCGCGGGGCAGTGAGTTTGTCCCGCGCGGCTAGTGCCTGCCTTGTCCTCCTCTTGCCGGGAGTCAGAGCTCCGCTCCAGATGCACCGGACTCGAGGGAAAGGCATCGAACTCCCAGTCACTAATTCAAAGTAGCCTCAGGCCGGCCTGCGCTGCCCTCGCCCTGGCAGCCTCAACCGCAAACGGAAGGACCATGGTTAGCCGCAGAATTACCGCAAGGAGGGATTCCCGGATTTTTCTTTCTGTGGCCCGTTTCCTCTCCAACAAAGTTAATTTGGGCACGAGGGTCCAAGAAAGGGAGATTGGACCCCATTGGCCGAAATAGGGGGTATTCCGGGCCTGCCCAGAGGATGCCGCCACCGCTTCCCTGTCTCACAAGCTCTCTCAAGACGCCCAGCTCCCTTCCTCCTCACGCTCCTGCCCAGGCGTCTGTCCCAACTTTTTCCCGTGCAGAGGATTGTCGGCTTCCACGAGACTCGTGCCCGGGCCAATCAACACCACCTACTGGCCATTCCTTCTTTAACCTTTCACATTGTCATTCTACTGGTCCGTTTCTAAATCACTTCACACTGCCAAGAAGTAGTGAGTAGTGTTCCAAGAAGCGATTTTGCACGTGCCTTCACTGCTCCTGATATGTAAATGCCTGGAAGATCTAGCTGGCAGAACCTCTCAGCAGCCGTTGCATGTTTTCCCCATAAGCCACAAACCTCAGGAACTAGATCGAGGTCAAGGGGTGGGGGTTGTGCCTGTACTCTCTCTTGCTTGAAAAAAGTGGATAGCAGCTGTTATAACCAGACTGCCAGGCAGATACCTCTTTGGCCTCTGACCAGCTGCCCCAGTGCCTAAACCACAAGGTCCAGCTGCTGAGAGCTGCCATCTCTTAAAAGATAAAACATACAAACAACCACTGTTAAAAATACATTTATCATTAAAATATATTACACATATGAGAGAGGGAATGCATTATATACAGTTTGGAAGATTTCTTGGCCCAGAAAATTCCACTTGTTTCACCAGAACACCAAATTTCTTCAGTACTTTCATTTTCAAGCCACTGTATTGCCCTTGGAGGCTGAGTGGTCAGCTCCAGAGTTGTTGAGCCATATCTGAGGGGGTGGGGGGCTTTGCATATGCATACACACGTCTTCAGACAGAGCGCTGGAAGCACCTGGGGTGACTGTGACCTGTTTATCCAGCAGCTTCCATTTGCATTCTTGCCGTCCAGCTCATTCATCCTTCAGGACTCCAAAGTTTGTTCAAATATCTGATCATGGGGAGCTCAGCCCAAGCTACAGGGAAGGTACTGTATGCCCTGGAGGCAGGCTGAGTGAGCACAAGAAGTATGGTTGTTTAAACATTAAAAAAAAAATAGAGATCTATCTGTTAAATAACTAAAGTTGAATGCTGAATGTCAGTTTTATTGTGGTGGATCTCCCCTCGTGTCTTCACAACTCGCAGCAGCATGGAGTGTGACAGCCATGCTGGGCAGGGCAGTCTGGGCTCAGGAGACAGGCAGCTGCCACGCTTGCTTCCAAGTGGGCTCCCATCCTTTTAAGGCAGCTCTTGAGCTGAAACAGGTGGGGCTGGTAATTGGCCGCCTCAGGCAAAAGAGGAGGGGCGATGCAGAGGCTCAGGGTGAGTTGCAGAGGAACTGGTGAATAAATTCTTGAGCCTTCTTCTTCTCTGCCATTTCAAGCTTTTGGTCACCGGCTGGGTTTCGAAGCAGTAAGCTACCAAATATGCTAGCTGCATGGAAAACACAAAAAACAAAGGATTCAGCAAAAAAAAGTGTGACTTATTCTCCTGTTCTTAGGAGTGGGGGGGGGGTTGCCCCAAAGCAGTATTTTCTGCTTAAAAAAAAAACAACAAAAAACCTATTTGAGGATAAACTTTGCTCAGAGCTTGAGAACTTAGTTCTACTTCAGTGGACTTGGGACCTTCCTCAACCACAGTTCTCATGACGAGTCTCTCAGTCTGCAGAGGTGCTTTCCACACACACTTGGCTACTTACCTAGAATATTATCATCCAAGTGATTTTTTGTTGAATTTTTCAGCAGTTCTTGCAAAAACGCCATCAAGTAGGTGAAGACATTTCTGTGGCATGCGGGGAGGGTAGTGATGACCTGAAAGAAGGAGAACTGGGATTTGTCTTTTTGTTCCTTCAATCATTTGTCAATTGCCTGCTGTATTCCAGGGAACTGAGTACGTGATCCAAGTACATGAGTAAAACTGTGCACAGAAACCTTGATCACACTTACCACTTGGCACAAGTGCCAAAAGAACAGTGCAGATCAAGTGCTTCGTGAATTTAGAGGTCACATTTCTAACTGCATGTTGTCAAAAGACTTAAGGGAACAGAAAATGTTTTCACTGGGTCTTGAATATAAGATTGGACTTGCAGAGGTAAGGACTAGGGTATTTAGGGCAAAAGAAAATGCAGAAAAAGGTAAGATAAGGAAAACAGCGAGATAAGAAGAGAGAATATATTGTGAAAAGCCCCTTTTGGCAGGAGCATTGGTGTGTGAACAGCCCTAAGCCTGGAAGGGTTGATCAGGGTAGAATTCAGTGAGTACTCTGGCTATCTGCATATCAGAATCAGTGGGGAAGCCTGTACAAAGTCTATTCCAGAAGAGATTTTGGTTCAGTGGACGCAGGGTAAGGCTCCAGAACCTGTATTATTAGCATGTTTTCCAGATTATTCTACTATGGCCTGATACATAAGTGAATGACTAGAGTAGATCATAAAAACTCCCAAACATTTGTTCAAGAAAATCCTTATTTGTGGGATGAGGATAGCTCAGTGGTAGAGGGCATGCTCAGCAAGCATGAGGTCCTGGGTTCAATCCCCAGTAGCTCTATTTAAATAAACAAATAAAAACCTAATTACCCCCTCTAAAATAATTTAAATATGAATTAATTTTTTTAAAATCCTTAATTGGCAATGGAGAGCATTTCTGACCAATGGCATCATGAAGAGAGTTTTAGAACCCACAATCTGATGGCAGCAGGCAAACCAAATCAGCAAGAGAGCCTGAATGCAGGGTCTTGAACCAAGGTGAATGGAAGAGAATGGAAGAAAGAAGAGGAGCAATAGACCAAAGAGACTGAGCGTGTGGGAGGTGAGGGGAGGAGGAGTCAGAAATGACTCAGGTTCTGGGTTGAGTCACTAGAATTAAGGGGATGCCATTAAGAGAAAAAGGGACATGAGAGGAAGAACAGGTTTGGGAAGGAAAGACTTGGTGTTGAGTTTCTAAGATATTGCGTTTAGGGGACGGCACCCACTTTGTTCCCTCAGAGCCCCACGAGACCTGGTGCTGCAACCTGTACAAGCTGATGGGCAAGGCTTCCCCTCACCTGTTTACTTGCTGTGAGGTTGCCAGAACATTCCAAGCAGGTGCGGTAGGCACTATAACAGATGACGGGCTCCGGCAAGCTCTCCAGGAAAAGCAGCAAGGCTTCAGCTACAGAATGATTGCTGGCAGCTTCGGGCCCATCGTTAAGGAAGAGGTGATGCTGCTGCTATGGTCACGGTTGGGAAAAGGCCTAGGAGCCAGCACACGCCAGGGTGCTGCCTGCTCGGCCTGGCTCTCTGCTCAGAGGTGGGGTGCAAGCCCGACATCTCAAAGGGGCCAAGCAGTCTGTCAGATTAGCTAGACCCCCCTGAATTCCTCCTATACTGGCTGCTTAAAATTGTAACATCTTCTCTAAGCAAACTTTAAGAAAAACATGACAGCTGAGGACACACTGTCTGATGTTGAGCCTTAAAATATCCTATCCTTTTCCTCACCTCTTACTCATAACCATACACACATACACACACGCACACAAATGTTGAAAGGATACAGAGGGTATCAATCATTCCAGTATCCAAACAATCCCTGATATGCTCAAATTCCCACCTCAGGCCTGGCTGCTGAAACAGATCTTCCTGGAAAAGGGAACAAAGTCACAAAATAATTACATTCTCTGAAAAGCAGCAGTGATTTCCTGACTTAGAAGTATTATCACGAGCAGCAGTACAAAAAGGGGCAGAGTAGTGAGACCTTGGAATCACCCCGGCAGACAGTCTGACGCCGGGTGATGTGGCTAATTCATCTCTCAGGCCTTCCCAGGCGCACTCCCACAACAGGTCTTTATAGGACACCTATTATAAAACTATGAGCTGGGCGTGCAACATATACAACAGTAAGATCCAACTGAAGGGAAGAGCTGAAAGTAGCTATGTTTCCTGCAGTGTTATGGAGGGATTAACCAGAAAAAGAAAAAACTGAAGACAATATAAGATGGAGAAAGTTAAAAAGGCCCCTCAGTACTCTGAAAATGAGATTATGGCAAAAAAGGTATTTCCATTAGTGCTAGGATCCTGTACATTCATTTGTTTTACAAAATGACTTAATGCCCCATGACTGTGAACAATAACAATATTACATGTATTGCTCAAAAGTTACACCTGAAAGGAGCTCGACAGAGAAGGTAGACTCGCACAGTCCTTCAGAAAGTGACTTCTATAGCCAGATGCCCTGGGTTCGCATCCCCATCCTGCCCGTTTGTCAGCTTTGGGGCCCTGACCAAGTTATTTAACATTTCTGGGAATGTGTTTACTCCTTTGCGAACTAAATGAGGCAATGCTGTAAAACACTTAGAATAGTTTTTGGTACGCTGTAACGCTCAATAAACGTGAGGCGAGAGAGACTAGCCTAAGAATGTCCATTGCTCTGAGTGGCAGAGCTATGGCAGATTATAGAGTTTCTACTGGTCTCCCTGGGACCCAGATAAATGAGTCAGTGGATCTGACCAACCTGACCTCATGAAGCTTGCCCAGCTCAGTCTAGAAATCAGGCTTCCTGACTCATGGCCCAGTGGTTCCACCTAGTCCCTGCCTCTGTCTGG